GACGATACTAGATAAGACTTCTCTATTACATTGTAACTAAGGCTAACTAAAAGCCTCCCTTGTGTTTAAGTCGAAACCTAAAACAAAGGGAAGTCAAGCCTGCGACAAAAGACATCAACACAGCAACAAGCATAAGAACAAGCATAAGAACACAGGCAACCGAAGCCAAGCCAACAAATAAAGAAAGCCATATTAAATTTCACTTCTAATCCCCAGATTTATTGTTTGTCTTTTTACTCATGACTTTGTCGTAAGCGAGTGAGCCAGGCTGAAAGATAAATACCCAGACTTTAATTCTAAGCTGCTAGTGTCATTGACTTGGGGGGATAGGGTATAGTCTCATTGTCTGGGGTAGGGTGGAGTTTTGCCTGTGATCGTATTTGCTAGGCCACGCTTTCAGCGCTAACTGAAAAAAACTAATGTACCTTAATTTGTACCTTTAGTCTGGGGTAGGATATGTAAAATCACAAAAACTGGTCTGGGATAGGGTAAGGGTTTTGAGGGTCGTGCGGTACACACCCACTCATGTTTAGGAGGGAGATCCCCCTCCACCTCCCTCCCCGGGGACTTAGTGTATATACATACCGTGTTTGTTTGCATAGTCGTACTTGATGTGAAACCCTCTCTTAGACAAGCTTTTATCTGAGTGGAAGATAACATTTACATACGGTGTGTCCTCAAGCATGATGTTACTGCCACGCAGAGAACGACCGCAGTACTTTCCATAGCTTTGTTCATTATCCCGGACCTCAACGTAATCATAACTGCCGAGAAAAGAAAGTCATTATTTTATTAGAATTACTTTATAGTATTTCATTTTACGGGGAATTCCACTGTTTCCGAACATTTAAGATTCTATCTCATCCTTTGTACTTCTCAATCGTACAGCTCAATCGATTATATCCCGTTTCATTTTTACTCTTCTCTTTTCTTCTTTTTACTATTCTCTTGCTCTACTCTCCCCTTCTCTCCCCTTCTCTCCCCTTCTCTCCCCTTCTCTCCCCTTCTCTCCCCTTCTCTCCCTTGCTCTCCCCTGCTCTGGCTATGCATAGCTACATAGTATCACCTGCAATCTGACGAGTCTTCCATGTCAAAATCGACGAACTTCAGATTCAATACTGTGTTTTGATGTACTGGTATGGTATACATACAGTGGGTGTTTGTGGGGTAATTTCTTGGATAGTTCGGACTATGGAGGGTGTTGTCCTTGATTTCTCCACATTCAGATTCTATAATTGAGCAGATATAAATTAAATACACACTAATGGATAAAAAAGGTTTAATACTATATGCAATATAAGCAATCCAGATTTGCACTAGGGTCAGTACATGTCAGTACCAATTCGATATTTTTCTTGCCGTGATAATCTTAGATGCCGTTTAGTAAATACATCCCTTGTTAGTACTTACTACATGTTATAGGACGATACGTAATAAGAAGCCTTTTTCTAAACGTAACGCAGTAGTTTTTATCGTAACGTAGATACGCAATAAGAACGTAATAATACGTAATAAGAAGTCTTTTTCTAACGTGATATACGCAGTAGTTTTTATCTTAACGTAGATACGCAATAAGAACGTAATAATACGTAATAAGAAGTCTTTTTCTAACGTGATATACGCAGTAGACGTCTTTATCTTAACGTAAACGTAAATATTTCTAACCTTATACCTGGTGCACTACGATAGAGATTTCTAGACTGTTTTCGGACGGTTAGAATAATTCGTAATAAACGTCTGATATTCTTATGGCATATGTACCTGGTGAGCTCCGTATAGACCGTCTTCTGCTCACAGACAGAGAGGCAGAACGGCAAACCTAGAATCGTTAGAATAAAGGGATATTACTAAACAGACATGCTTTTGGGGAATTATATTAACACTTTCCCCGTCCCCGACGCCCTAAGTTCAATGAACACATTTATAGACTGAGGAACTTAGAGGACATGCCTTATAATAACTTTAAACCTAGGGGTAGTTTTGATTTATATATTGTTGTAGCTTTAAAGTGACTGTTTTGACACCGATTTAAAGTGTGTGTTGCGCTGTCGTAGTAAATGTATTTATTTTCAGGGTAGTTCTTTAAGAAACAGATAAAATATTAAACAAATATTAAATATAATAATGATTATTATTATGCTACAACTTTTTATTGGTTTAACTTGGGTATCATATAAATTATTTTTGTATCGACATGAGTTAAAAGGCAAAAAACATATAATAACAAAATGTTTAACACTAAAGTGAAGCAAGTATGCTTATGTACTATACATTGTAAACATTCAAGATCAACTATATACTTAGCAAGTTACTATCAAAACCATTAAAAACGTTATTTGGAGAAAACTCAGTTAAATTAGAATGCTGGATCACTATCGAATTTACTCGATCGTTTATTATTATCTTTCATTATCATATGGTACTAACACAGAAAAACTCTCGCAGTTCAATAAAAAGCGTCCATTGAAAAACAACAGTCTACATTGAAAATTAAATAAAGAAAACARAATCCAACCAAACTTGATTTTGATGCAAACAGAAATACTCTTATTAATTAGGATGGCGTCTTACTTTAATTCAAAAATACATCTAAAACTCAATCATGTTACTCACCAACAAAAGTACAACCACAACCTTGAACATGGTCTGTGGTATTGTAGAAAAGACCCAGTATAGGAAAGCGTAAATATATATTTGTCTAAAATAATTGATTTTTGYTGAGTTTATGTCCTGGTCTCAAACTGTATGATGTGAAGTTCTTGGTGAAGAAGTTAGAGTTGTCAAGGTTACTCCTTATAGGGTTATTTTTGGGATTACGAAATGCCCAAAGAT